AAAATAAAATAAAATAAAATAAAATAAAATAAAATAAAATAAAATAAAATAAAATCAGAGGTACGGATTTATCTATCCATTAAAAAAAAAAAAAAAAAAAAAAAAAGAGCACTCAAGGGACAACATGCCCCCAAAAGGATATATATATATAGATAGATATATCTATCTATCTATATATATATATATTTTAGATAGGATTCACTTGGGGGGGGCTGGGATCTTGGCACAATTTTAGATACTTTTCTGAAAGAAAAATAGTTTAATATAAAATGTTAATTTTGATAACCCTTTTGTGAAACTATGAGTGTATATTAAAAATGGGAGTGGGGAAGAGTCCATTATTCAAATAAGCCACACTGAATCTCACACTCCAAATAAAGTATTTGATCAGAGTAACAAACACTATCATCACACAAAATATCTAAAGTTAACTCCTCAAAAGGCCTGCAAGTTTTCTTTAGGCTAACTTAATATTTTTTTTCCAAAGTTAAATTTCAATACCCCAGGTTTGGGTAAAGCTGCTACAGAAAACCCGGAAGTTTAATGTGTGAGGTTTTCTTTTTCCTTTTTAAAGAAAATTTCACATCACATACAAACCATACCCATCCTGAATTCTGTAAACAGCACAGCACTCTGGGATTAGACCTCTCATCATCAGAGCTTTCTTTAGACTGTCTCGGACTGTAACTCCACATCTTGCAGGTACCTATGGTATCATAAATATACGGTATGAGGTAAAGGGAATAAATCATACATTTTTTTGCATCATTTTAAAAAGCTCAATACTTTATAATATCTTTAAAATATCACATGGATTAGTATGTCAAATACAACATCATTTGTAACGCTAACCTGCCATTAAAGGAAAATTATGACTCAAGTATCTACTTTCACCAACTTAAAGCAAAATTGACTTTGCTTTTTATTAAAATTATGAAGTATTTTAACATATAAAAAGTGAACAGAAAATATAACAGATTCCTATGGACCCATCACTGAGAAATAACATGTCAACATTTAAAGCAAAAGCAATTAAAATTATAATTTGAATATAGTTGACACACATTATATCAGTTTTAGGTGTACAGCACAGTGATTCAACTTCTCTATACATTATGCTATACTCGCAAGTGTAACTACTATCCATCACCATACAACACTATAATATCATTGACTATATTCCCTAAGCCTTTCATCCCCATGACCGGAAGCCTGGATCTCCTACTTCCCTTTATCCATTTTGTCTATCCCTCAATTCTCCTGTCCTCTAGCAGCCATCACTTTGTTCTCTGATTCTGCTTTTTGTCTGTATTTCTTTTCATTTTTATTATTTTTCAGGACCCTCCATACTGTTTCTCAGTGGCTGTGCCAAATTACATTTTCATCAACAGCATATGAGAGTTTTTTTTTCCCTCTACATTCTACATCCTAACACTTCGTTCGATTTTAGTGATTCTGACAGGTGTAAGGTGTTATCTCATTGGTTTTTTTTTTTTTTTTTAAGATTTTATTTTTAAGTAATCTCTACACCCAACACGGGGCTCAAAATGATAACCCCAAGATCAAGAGTCGCATATTCTACTGACTGAGCCAGCTAGGCAGCCCCCTCATTGTGGTTTTGATTTGCATTTCTCTGATGATTACTGATGGTGAGCATCTTTTCCTGCGTCTGTTGGCCATCTGTAGGTCTTCCTTGGAAAAATATCTATTCAGGTCCTCGTTTATTTTTTAATCAGGTTACTTGGAATTTTTGGTGTTGAGTTGTATGTTCTTTACATATTTTGAATATTAACCCTTTATCAGATATATCATTCACAAATATCTTCTCTCATTCAGTAGGTCACCTTGTTCTTTTGTTGGTGGTTTCCTTCGCTAGGCAAAAGCTTTTTATTTTGGTGTAGTCTCAATAATTTATTTTTGCTTTTATTTCCCTTGCTTAAGGAGACATACCTAGAAAAATGTTGCTAAGGCTGATATCAAAGAGATTACTGACTATGTTTTTTCTGGGAGTTTTATGGTTTCAGGTCTTACATTTAGGTCTCTAATCCACTTTGAGTTTATTTTTGTATATGATATAAATAGTCCAGTTTTTCCAACACCATTTATTAAAGAGATTGTCTCTTCCCCATTGTTTATTCTTGCATTCTTTGTCATAGGTTAATCGACCATACAATCGTGGGTTTATTTCTGGGCTCTCTATTCTGCTCCATTGATCTATATGTCTATTTTTGTGCCAGTACCACATACTTGGTATGATTACTACAGCTTTGTAGTATATCTTGAATTCCAGAATTGTGGTATTTCCAGCTTTGTTGTTCTTTCTCAAGATTCCTTTAGTTATTTGGGGATCTTCTGTGGTTCCATACAAATTTTAGGTTTATTTGTTCTAGTTATGTGAAAAATTTTGGCATTTTGATAGGGATTACATTCAATCTATAGATTGGTTTGGGTAGTATGGACATCTTAACAAAATTAATCTTTCCAATCTATAAGCATGGAATATCTTTCCATTTGTTTGTGTCACCTTCAATTTCTTTCATTAATGTTTATAGTTTTCAAAGTATGGGTCTTTTACCTCTTTGGTTAAGTTTATTCCTAGGTATTTTATTCTTTCTGGTAGAACTATAAATGGAATTGTTTTCTTAATTTCCCTTTCTGCCACTTCATTACCAGCACATGGAAATGCAACTGACTTCTGGGTATTAATTTTATATCCTGCAACTTTACTGAATTTATTTATTACCTCTGGTAGCTTTTTTTGGTTTTGTTTTTTGGTGGGTCTTTACGGTTTTCTATGTATAGTATCATGTCATCTGCAAATAGGTGAACTTCTTCCTTACCAATATGGATGCCCCATTTCTTTTTCTGGTCTGACTGCTGTGGATAGGATAGGACTTCCAGTACTAAGTTGAATAAAAGTGGTGAGACTGGACATCATTGATTTGTTCCTGATCTTAGGGTGAAAGCTCTCTTTTTCACAACTGACAATGATGTTAGCTTTGAGTTTTTCAGTATCTTTCCTCAAACCAACTTTTTTGAGTCTTTATCACAAACAAATGTCGAATTTTGTCAAATGCTTTTTCTCCATCTATTCAGATAATCATATGATTTTTATCCTTCACTTTGTTGATGTAGTATATCATGTTGATCGTCTGTGAATAATGAGGCACCCTTGCATCCCTGGAATAAATCCCACTTAATCATGGTGACTGATCCTTCTAATGTATTGTTGAATATGTTTTGCTCATATATTGTTGAGGATTTAAAGCAAAATCAATGTAATCCTTCAATCACACTAACGGTCCTTAAAAGATGTCTTGCTATTCCTAAACATGGTGGGAATAAAATACTTATCTTAGTATGTATAATTGGTATTTGTTGTTTACTTGCCTAACATCCCTGTGTTTTCTGGGAGCCTGTCCTTCACTAAAAATCCACATGACACCAGTGAGCATATTAATCAAGGGTCACTGCTTTTCTGGCTACACGAGACATAAGCTGGTAAATCAGTTTCCCATATCCTTGGCAAAAGCAACTGATCCAGGCCTAGATATATGACCCAAACAGAGTTTGTCCCTAAATTGACTAATGCATACTGGCTGAGAAAGTTTCTGTTTTGACTATAGTTACAGTGTGCCAACAGGATAGAACCTGGAGCTGTCTGTGGCCATCCTCCCTACTACACTGAGAAAATCTAGTTACAGGATGAAGCTAACCAAGGGAGAAGCAAAAGTAACATCAGGAGTGTGGAGTGAAAAGGCACTGGAAACAGATAAAAATTATTTTTCTGTATATTTGAAATTCCTCTATCCTGGTCTTTTCCACACATGCCCCATCCTTCCAGATGAATCTGAATACTTTACAACTGAAAAAGACTGACAAATACAGTATGCACTCAAATGAGGCAGTGGGAATTCAGGTTGGTCAGTTTTTAAGGGGGAAGGGGAGTGGAGAGAGAGGTGATGTGTTAGTTACTAACAAGAAAATTCAAGGTTCCACTCTTAAATCACTAAAGTACTTAGCAAACCATAAGTTGCCAAAGAAATTGAAAATCTTTGGGCTACATGGGAAGAAACAGTGTAAAGGTAAATACAAGACGACCTAAACAGTACATTGAAGAAGGAACAATTCAGAAATCCACATTAGGACCTACGATTAGAAAAAAGAGGAGACAGATTTTAGCTTAATATAACCACCATTCAAACCATCCAGCAAGAGAAATATTGGAGAAGACATGAGGGAACAGTCTCATCACTGGAAGTACTCAAGAGCCTGGACTGGTACAGTTGATTCTCTTTATTTGTGGATTCCATATATGCAAATTTGTTTCCTTTTTTTGTATTCTCAAAATCAACATGTGCAGTGCTTATACAGACATGTGCAGAGCAGTAAAAAATCTAAGTTGCCCAATGCACACCTTCCCATCTGAGGATGAGCAGGTGATACCCTGCCTGCCTGTTCTCACTGTCATACTGTAAACAAGTGCCCTATGCCAGGAGGCTTTTAAGCTAATGGACCCTAGCCAGTTGTGAAGAAATTAATAACCTAGGGGCCAATATACAAAAGCCATTTTGGCTCATTTATATAATAGTAACCCTTCATTTCCCTTAGAAGCAACGGTCTAATATTCTTTAATTCAGTGTTTCTGGTGAATTTATAGACCATAACTACTACAAATATTAAAAACTGGCTGTACTTTCCAGAAATAATGAACAGAGAGAAAGTTTACTTTTACCCTCTGCTACTCATATTCTGTATACTTGATTTAAAAACTTATCAACAACCCTATCTCTAGTTTTAAGCCCTATCCCATGTCACCAGAGGAATCTTTCTAAAGAAGGTATTTTTTTTTTTTTTAAAGATTTTATTTCTTTATTTGACAGAGAGAGAGACCACAAGTAGGCAGAGAGACAGGCAGAGAGAGAGAGAGGAAGAAGCAGGTTCCCCGCTGAGCAGAGAGCCCGATGTGGGGCTCGATCCCAGGACCCTGGGATCATGACCTGAGCCGAAGGCAGAGGCTTTAATCCACTGAGCCACCCAGGCGCCCCTAAAGAAGGTATTCTTAACTTGTGTGTATGTCAAAGACTTCTGAGAATTTGGAGTGCCTGGGTGGCTCAGTTGGTTAAGCTTCTGAGTCTTGACTTCGGCTCAGGTCATTATCTCAGGGTCATGAGACTGAGCTCCAAACATCAGGTTCTGTGCTGGGCACAGAGCCTGTTCAAATTCTCTCTTTCCCTCTGCCCCTCCCCTGCCTCTTAAGAAAAAAAAAAAAGATTTCTGAGAATCTGAAGAAAGTCTTAGATGCTCTCTCTGAAACGTATAATTTCAGAAGGTTCACCGAACCTGAAGCTCATGTATCAACTTTCAATGAACTGAGATTTAGACTCCATTCTAAAATGTAATTTTATTTTTCAGTAGTCTGCTCATATTTCTCATTATTTATAGGGCAAAATTCAAATACTCCTCAAAATTTTCCAGTTCCTTATAGGGAAAATTTAAAATTCTATAACACGGCATATAAGGTCATGAGTGAACCGTGGCTATTTACTACACCTCTCAGTTCCCTTGGTAATTTCCCTCATGCACTCCTGTCATGTATCTTCTAATATAGGTATGCTTAATTCCAAAGTGTATGTATATTTCATCAGCAGACAAAAATACCTTCTACTCTCATTAATAAGGGAAAGTCATCAGTCAGTCCTTCAT